AGGCTTCATTGCTTGAATTGGAACAATTCATCAAAATGTGCGTTTTAAGCCCACTTGATTGTGGCAAATCATGTTTTAAGCCCACTTCAGGGTGGCAAATTCAAACCATTTTCAAAAATAAACATGAGTTGAGTTGTTCCAATTCTTGCAATTTTAGTCTATATTTGCTTATGTCCATCGCATAGTAAAGTTAGCTAATAATCAGAATAAGAACACATAAAGTTTATAAAACAACATATCTTGCTTAGTAGAGGCTGATCTTTGATCGAGCGAGTAGGGGTGCTCATTTCAGGACCTTCCCCTCTTGTACCCAAGTTCTCGAGCTGAGGCAACTTTGGTGATGACGGACACGTGCCTTTGGCATGAGTCAGGGTTTCCTAAATTTTCCAAATTTTCCAAAAATAAAATATTTAGGTGGCGACTCTGTAATCTGGCAAAGCAGTTTAGTTTTGGCATTATTTGATCTAAAATCAATTTTCCAAAAAGATTTGCCGGATTAGACTCTTTGGTGTTTATCAGTCTCACATTGCACTTTGTGATATTAGATTCAGAACCGTGACGGGAGTCCGAATTGTAGGACCAATTCGAGCTCTTCGAAAGGGGACACGAAGAAAGTCGAGTCTACACTTGCAAAAAAAAAAAAAAAATGCTGTGGAATGTGCTAACTACGACATGCATTTAATGCATGCCGTAAACATGATGCCGTAAATAGTTAGTTTTGTTGTAATGCATCCAAGTACTTATCAAATTTTGACTTATTCCCACTACGAAATTTCACCTCTAAAATTGAGTTAAATTGAGAGTTCACAATAGAGTGTAGGTCATTTTCATCTACCACTATATCTACTATCTCATTCACATTGGAGGCTTGCATATTTGTTGAATCAAGCGTGTCATAATGATCATACAATCGATTCGAACAATTTTTTTTTACCTTATCTAACATTTCTTTCACTTTTAACACATCTTCACCAAAAATTTGGGAAAAACAAATTTCCAAGTATGTCATTTTTTTTTTTGAGGATCAAGCACAACCGCAACATACAAAAGGAGATTGATTTTATCCCCATTCTCCCAATACTTGTCAAACTTCTCTTTCACTCTCTTTGTCATTGTGTAGACGCCCCCGAACGTCCCGGGAGGAAATCCCCCCCGTTTTGTTCATTGGGCTCACTACAGTTCAGGACTCAATGTCATGGTCCTGTATCTAATCTCGCAGAGTGCAATGCAAGACTGATGAAATCATCAAAGAGTCCAAATCCGGCAAATCATTTTGAAAAACAGATTTTTTTGAAAGAAGTGCCAAACATGGACTGCTTTGCCAGATACAGAGTCGCCACCTAAACATTTTATTTTGAAAAATTTAGGGAACCCTGACTCGTTGCCTAAGGCCATGTGCCCGTCATCACCAAAGTTGCCTCGGCTTGGGAACTTGGGTATGATTGGAGAAGGTCACTTCGTGAGCACCCCCGCTCGCTCGATCAAAGATCGGCCTCTACTAACCATGATATCTAGTTTTGAAAACATTATG